TCATGAACTGGAGGCTCTGTGGCATTTTGGTGGGTGTGGCCTGGACAGGGGGCTTCTTGCATTCTATTATACAGATTCTCTTTACTTTCCAGCTGCCCTTTTGTGGGCCTAATGTCATCGATCATTTCTTATGTGACTTGTACCCATTACTGGAGCTGGCCTGCACTGACACTCACATCTTTGGACTTTTTGTGGTTGCTAACAGTGGGTTTATCTGTATTATAATATTCACCATGTTGCTTGTCTCCTATGGTGTTATCTTGTTCTCCCTGAGAACACACAATGCTGAAGGGCGAAGGAAGGCTCTGTCCACCTGTGGATCTCACATTGCTGTTGTAGTTTTGTTCTTTGTCCCATGCATATTTACATATGCAAGACCTCCTTCTGCCTTCTCCTTTGACAAAATGGTGGCCATATTTTACACCATGCTAAGCCCCTTGCTCAATCCTTTGATTTATACTTTTAGAAATATGGAAATGAAAAATGCCATGAGGAAAGTATGGAAGAGATTGGTGGTGGTTTCTGATGAAAAATAAAACTATTAAACTTCATAAAAATAATATAATAAGTAACAAATTCAAAATGGTCTTAAACAAGAAAAACTTGATGGGACCCTCATTGTCTCTAAAGTGGTAACACAATTCTATAGAAATGCCAGTACTGTGGGGTCAGAGATGATGCTTTTCATTATCTTTTTAGGCATCTACTCAAGTTTGCAAGTCAACATCCTATTATGTTAAGTTGAAGTTAATTGAATTTTATGCTTACTTAGAATCTAATATATTTTAAAAGGAAATAAAAAATACTTGGCAGATTGCAGGCCACTTACTCCATGCTTTGATAAAACTTGTGGAGGGATCACAAAAGTATCTTAGAAATTAGAGACAGATACTTCAAGTATTTCAAGTGAAAAGAAATTTTGATTTAGGATATTGATCTCAGTGATGTTGGAGAAAAAACAACTGGAACTCAGGAGGGGCATTCAGAAAAACATTAGTGGAAACTTCATTGTAAGTTTCCTCTATGATGTGACACTGTTCTTTAAGATGGGTCCCTTACCATCTGTACAGGTTTAGTCATTCTTGAATTTCATGACAGGTAGACCTGATGGCCCAGACCTGTGTATGGAGGATGAGTTCCTCTGTGGTCAGCACAACTTCATGTCAATCATGTATGGAGAACAAGAGGAGGCAACTTTCATGGAGGTCTTAACAATGAGAATTTCTTATTCAAGTACAATCAAAGGGAATTGAAATAAGACATAAACAAAACCAGGACCAACTGTGGAAGTAGAGAGTTATGTCCTCCAGCCTTAAAGAGGAAATCCAGAGGCACCAGAGAGGAAAGGGAACTTTAAAACAAGCTAATATTTCAAATTATTTGATATTTTCATTTTTATGGCTTTCTGTACCCAAGTGACAATAATTCTATTTCAACAAACATCAATACAGACATCATTCAAATTTATACATCATATATGTCATTCTCATAGTTAAGGTTGGTTGATCTTAGGTTGCAATGTGGCTTCCAGAATAAATTTATTTACAGTAAAATTGTTCAGTTTTCCCTAGCCCATCAATACCAATAAAACTCCTACTGAATATGGTGGGGTTAAAAAAAAAAAAAAAAAACAACTAAATCTTTCTGGTCTTTACCTTGCCAGGCCAAAAGTAAGAGAGTGTTTGAGAATCATTTGCTTCCCCAGGATAAACATGGTAGGGTCAGATAACATTTCACTGTTGTTGTAAATCCACAGAGAGATTAGGATTTAGGGTCTGAAACTTCATCTGGAAAATGTGAGTGTCCTGCAGCCGACCAGGTGTGTTACACATGTTTAGACTGACCTTCACCATTCCCTTTTTTCTCCATCATCTCTCTGTTTTTACAGTAGGGGTATCATGTCTCTTCCATGCCCACAGAAGTATGTTAATCTCTACAAACTCAAACCAGTTTATTCATTTCTAAGAGCTAGCTCAAGTAATGCAGACCTGCTATGACTGGCTCAATGACTTTAAGAATCTGTAAATCCAAAATTTCAAATACTATAAAATAATATGTTATTCTAAACTTACTGCAGTGACCACCATAGATTCCTATCTGATCCATCATAAACTTGAAATAGATCAATTTTTTTTTTTTAACTTTAAGACCTAACCCCTCATTGTATACCCTGGTAATGGTACATGATTAAAGAAAACAAAACATTCAGCAAAAGAATAAAGAAATACTGAAAGACATCAAAGGGTTTTTTTTTCTTTCTAATTTTCTTAACAGAATTTTCAGAAGCCTCTTTAAAACAGTCATTGCTTTAGCTTTGTTTTCTATTCTATGCTGATTTTGCCTAGATGTGGTGAAATTCATTCTAATGTTTTTACCTCTTTGGCAATGTAACTGTTGTTTACTATAATTCAAGTTATTGTACTTGCTATAGTTATCAAATTAATATTCAGAAACATAATGCCAATATAAAAAGTAAAAATTTTAAGAAACTACATATCAGAAGCAAGATGATAGCTGATTTCAAGTTTAAATAATGAAATTATTTAGGAAGTATATTATGTTGCATCACAACTCAGATAAAAATTATAATTTTGCTCATAATCTCATAGTGTTCTTCAATCCCAAACTACTGTTTATTTCTACCAGGGATCTTTGACCATCCTTGCACTACGGGGTTTTCTGATTATTCTTCCTTAACTTTCTTTCACTGAAAATAATATTTTTTTTCCTTTTGGCTCTGAATTCTCCCACTGTTATTTAATATCCCTATGCCTTCCCTGCTATTATTTTCAAATATACGTATGACATGCTGATCAGGCTGACTCATCCTGAAGTTTGCACCCATGGTATACAGTAGGTATTCTGAACAAGTCAGTGGTTTCCTTCATTGTCTGTCTGTGGGTTCTTGGGCTTAGGTTGGCTCCAGCTGGAAGGTGGCAGTGTGACACTTTGCATGCCAGTGTGGGGCAGAGTGTTAGAGATTTCCTTGTTGTATAAAAGCTTGGATTCTGGTTCTGGAATTTTTCTCTCTGCTAAACTCTATCTCCTAGTTTAGGCTGAAGTACACAAATAGAAATAATACCATCTTGTGTCACAAAATATGGTAAAATAGAATAAATTAAAGATGTTGAAGCAAAAATGAAAGAAAGATATTCTAAAAGGAAGGATATTCACATAAAGACTACAAAGAAGCCAATGTTTTAGTGTGGTCCCACCCAAAGGTACCTGAGGAGCTAGGTACCATTTTCCCCTCAAACTTCAGTTTCAAGACCTGTTCCTTTTCATCTAACAGAACTATTGTACCTTCTTTTCAACTAAAAATGAATGATAAAATTATTTTAATCTCAAGAAGTTGTGCTTTGGAGTTTGAAAGTTATAGAATCTCAAAATCAATTTTTGATGGAAAAAATTAGATTAATGTAAAAGTTTCCATATGTTTACAGAAATGTGTCTCTTTAACAAGCACATGTTGCTGCCCCAGTCCGAGTACAACACACATTGTCCTTGTGGATTGATGGTGCCTTATCCCAGATATCAGATCTTGCATTTTACAAGTACACTGGCCTTTCACCCTACTTCTATAGTGCGACCCTATATTACATCCCCACATGCACAGTGTTCCATTCCTTAGTATCAAGGAGAGCGAATGTATCTTCACATAGAAACCCAAGAGAAGTTAAAAACAGGCAGGAGAATCTTTTAATTGGTAGTTGACATAAAGTTTTATAAACAACTGAGCAAATGAAAAAAACATGCAGAATTTGTCATGGAAATAATGCTAATGGAAAATTTCCAAACCCCAGGGAGAACTGAGAATCAATTCAACAGGTTCATGAGCTCTCACGGAAACCTCTTTAAATTCCAGTTGGAAATCAAGGAGGAAACCTGCTTCTCCATTTTTATTTTTCCTGAGACTATGTTCAAGATCACAATTGTGGACCACTGAGAACAATCTCCACCTTGACTGCCAGAGAAACTCTTCAGCCACATCATATATATACAAAGAAGAACTGGAAACAACTTACACATTTTGCTCATAACCGAATGAAATATTCTCCTAAGAGAATAGTGGGTGTTCATCATTAGAATTTTCAGAAAATCGATATGTGGTGAGATTTATAATTCATGTTTTTTAGAGAGCTTTCAAAATTTGAAGCAGTGTATTAAAGTGTGTGTTTTTTGGTCAGAGTACCAAGTTTAATGCAATGCCTGGGCCTATTAATACTGTGCATATTTGAAATTATTACTCAGCCATTGTGGCTGTCAGACTCTCATCTTTAATGGACATGATATTACCAAATTCAACAAGAGTGAAGGGGGAATAAATAATACATGTGGATTCTGTAAGAGAGCACTTGATAATAAAACATCTTTTACGTGATTCCAAATTAGACATATGTTTAGATTTTCATCATCAAGTTAAAGCCAAATAATTTAGGAAGGCAACAACTTCATATTTTTGTCCTAGTTCTCCTGCAGCATTTTCTTTGTTGTTAATAAATTTTAATTTATCATTTATCTTCTAATGTATTCCCCACCTGGAGGTTTAAGATCCAAAAGTAGAATTTTCTGAATTTGTATAAAGTATACTAAGGTTGGTGCATGGTAAGTACTGCTGTATTATCCACAATTGTTAATGTAGAATGTAGGTTTTACTATTTCCATAACTACGAACTTACAAGAGGCACATGGAAGGACATTAAAAGTAAGAAAGAAGAACTCAAGTCACCAAGTACAGTCTTCTAATAGTGCATTAGATGTCATAAATCCCTAACTCTTAAAAAGAATAATTGGCTTAAACCATGATAAGAATGCCTAAGAACTGAGCTTAAAGAGATGTGCTTTAAGATGGAGTTTTTACCTTTGGAAAACAACAGGACAATTTTTTCATATTTGTTTGCATATATGTGGAAAATGGAATGTATTTTTTGTCAGCACAAACTATATTGTGTTTACTGCTCAGCCATAGAAAGTTTTGAACAAACAAAGACAGATATCCATTAATGCATTAAACTCAACATATGTGCTAAGTCAAATCCATATTATGTTAGTTCTGATTCACATGCAGCAATTAATACCAAACTGTTCAAGCATATGCAAAAATTTGACTTCTACATATTCTCAGAGTCCTGATGTGTTTGTGATAAAGCAAATATCTTATTCTTTGTTTTAAAATTTTGGATTTTTTTTTTGTGTGTGTGTATGTGTGTGTGTGTGTGTGAATTGAATGAATACTAAGACAGTAAACTTTTTTTTCTTTTTGGTTTTTTTTTTTTTATAAACCTGAAAAAGGAAAACTGCTGTAGTTTCCTTCCTCAGAATTATTCAGAAAAATCTAAGTGCCTGAATTTCTGAACTGCTTTAATGTTTCCTGACATGACTTAGTCACTTCTTTAAAATGAGCTAAATTACTGAGATAAGAAAGTTCATGCACCCATAAGAAAGGTCCAAGGTGGAAACAAATAAATGTTTTTTTTTTCAAATTTCAGAAATATTCAGTGTATAAATAATATAATATTTAGTGTCATAATGATGA